CCTTCGCAGTTTCAATAAAGTTTTTTCTTATTCTGCCAAAACTAGTTCAAATTTTTGGAAATCAAAAGACAATGCGCATCGGCATGGCGAAAGGCTGTTGGTTCTTCTCAAAGATCTCCATTTATCTGCAAAATGCTTTGAATTTGTTGAAAGATCTACTATTTGCTGTAAATACAAATACTCTGTATTTTATCAAACTGTAAATATCGGTATCGGCATAAAATTGTGCAGATCGCATTTTCCCAGCTTACTCCGAAATCGATTTCAACAGGTTAGAAGCCCTACGTTACGTGCCAAACGCAAGTTGCGACCCATCTGTCGTATCTGGATATCAGCATGTCAACTCAAATAATCCGAGCGTCCTTTTCAACAAAGCGAGTTTATTAAATAGATAAATATCGAAAACGACAGAATCAATATTTGCCGCACTGTCGCTTCGCTGGCTTCAAAACGTACCAAACGGATGCTGATACATACATGTTCCCTGTGAGGTAGTACATGCGCACAGCCTGGTCCATATCATACGACATTATGTTTTATTTCTTGGCCGTAATTTTGCTAGCACGTGCTATGCACGGGTGCTTCACTTCTGTTTCGTGTATTCCCTGCGGAAACATATGTCGTAATACTATGCAAAGGCCAAGTGCAGGGCACTACTCCAATGAGTAGCATTAAATGCGAGCAGTTAGCAATCCATGGATAGGAAAATGTATTTTATCATTGACTCGAAAGTGAGTATCGTCTGCTCTGACATGATCCAGAAATTTGGGAGCTGCAAATTGCGACAGGAAGCAGCTGCACAAGCCTAGACTATAATTATGTCAGCAAAAATTTCATTTAAATTATTCGGGCAGATTCATCATATCATACCAAAATATTCTTTGTGATACACAGAACTATTGCAGTACTTAAAAATTGCTCTCTTTGTGAGTATCAGGATTGCGCACTTGATGAACCGTTGACTCACCTCAATGTTCTTTACCATGTCGGACAGAGCCAGGACCTGTGTAGTGATAGACCGGTAGCTAAACCAGTTTTTGCCCTCAAGCCACGACTCTGTGCCTCTGTGCCTCTGCGCACTTATCATTACGTCAGGGAATAAGCTTAAGTAGGGTGACGAGAAGCATGGGAAAGAATAAAAAGCTTCCGTCGCGAGTAGCTAAAGCCTCTCAATTACTGCCACTTTCAGACAATAACGCGGTCGATTTAAGTCGGGATAAGAAGCAGGAATGCATGTCACAAAGTTTTGGATCGCAAGTGGATGCATTGGCGCAGTTGCTGCTAGACGCTAATGCACCTGCTGTCGGTGTAAATGCAAGCGGCGGAGTAACTGTCTGGAACAAACGCGTGGCTGATATTACAGGCTTTTCCGCAGAACGCGTACTAGGTCGCCCCATTTCCGATTTTGTTTATGGTGCTCAGCGCAAGAGTGAGGTTATGACCGTCATTTTTGCCTGCATCACCGATAGGCGTTCAGTGCTGGAATTGCGTATTCCACTACTTACTACGACGGGGAGAAGTGCAGAGGTACTGACGAATATGACGCCACTTCTGGCCAAGGACGGTACCTGCGCTGGCGTCTACGGCGTTGGCCAGGACGTGACAGAATGGACAATTCAGGAGAAGCAATATGCCACAGTCATGATGCAGGCCAATGCACCCATCATCGAGTTGGATAAGGAGGGAAATATCACCGTATGGAATTCCAAGACGGAGTCCATGACGGGGTATGCAAGTATGGATATGGTAGGCGAACCGCTACTACCCGTCGTAGACGAGAGCTTCAGAAAAATTGTTTCGGAAAAGATAGAGCAAGCATTAACGGGCATCGCAGGTGCAGATTTTGAGTTGCCATTGGTGACAGCAAGAGGATCGAGAGTAGAGATCGTGTTGTGTTTGACACCACGATTTGATGCTTTGGGATCAGTCGTGGGAGTTGTCGCCATTGGACAAGATGTGACGGAGCGAAATACAAAAGAGATGGAGTATAGGAAGCTTATTGAGACGGCTAACGCACCAATCTTTGGCGTGGATACGCGAGGACGCGTAGTAATATTTAACACCAAGGCATCGCACATCAGTGAATACTCGCCTGATGAAGTTATGGGTGTAGATCTCGTGGATACATTGATATCCGAAGAGTTCAGGCCTGCAGTTGCTGCTGTCTTTCAGAGTGCATTTAAGGGTACCGAAACCGCGAATTTTGAATTTCCGTTGATTACGAAGACAGGCCGAAAAGTAGAAATTTTGCTGAATGCTACTCCGCGCTACGATCATACAGGGCAGCTTGTTGGTGTCGTCGGGATTGGGCAGGATATAACGGACCGGATAATTCAAGAGAAAGAGTATAGCCGGTTGATTGATACTGCCAATGCTCCAATTTTTGGCGTTGACTGCAATTGCGAAGTAATTATCTGGAACAAAAAGGCTGCAGCTATCACAGATTACTCGAACGAAGACACGATTGGCCAGAAAATCTTCACATTTATATCTGAAGACTATCGTGATGCGGTTGGCAAGGTTTTGTCAAAGGCTATGGAGGGTGAAGGGACAGCGAATTTTGATTTCCCACTTATCACGAAAAGTGGTCGACGATTGGATATTCTACTAAACGCAACACCAAAATACGACCATTTTGGCAACATTTGTGGTGCGGTAGGAATTGGTCAAGACATTACAGATAGACGCGCTCAAGAGCAAGAGTACACTCGACTTATAGATACAGCAAATGCACCGATTTTTGGAGTGGATGAGAACGGGTGTGTTAACATATGGAACCGAAAAGCTGCCGATACGACACAATATTCAAATGAAGAGGTACTTGGGGTCAACTTAGTTGATAACTTTATTCCGGACGATTTTCAGGAGGCAGTATGGACAGTGTTTTCTCAAGCGTTAAGAGGGCAAGAGACAGCAAATTTTGAATTTCCGCTCATTACCAAGGACGGCCGTCGTGTAGAGATTTTGTTGAACGCCACTCCGCGTTACAATGAGAAGGGTGTAGTAATTGGCGTTGTTGGTATTGGTCAGGACATTACTGTACGCATGGCACAAGAGAAGGAAACAAATAGACTGATTCATTCGGCAAACGCCCCAATATTTGGCGTAGACCAGTTCGGTCGTGTCAACAATTGGAATTTAAAAGTGGCAGAGATTACTCAGTATTCATCCAAAGAGGTAATGGGAAAAGACCTGGTGCATGGGTTTGTGGCGGACGATCATCGCGAATCAGTAGGAAAGCTGCTGCAGAAGGCTCTCCATGGAGAACAGACTGGTAACTTTGATTTTCCTCTCATCACTAAAACTGGTCGACGAGTCGAAATTCTACTGAATGCTACCCCCAGGTATGACGAGTTGGGGCAGATCTTCGGCGTTACTGGCATTGGCCAAGACATTACGGAGCGTATTGCCCAGGAACAGGAATATATCCGCTTGATCGATACTGCCAATGCTCCGATTTTTGGTGTCGATTCTGACGGCC